ACAAATGAAAAAAAGAGACAAAAATATGCGGAAGAAAAAATTAATATTGTTTTAACGTAATTAAATATTTGGGTTTTTTTTGTATAGACAAAAATAATTACATATTTTCATGAAAATACAATAAATCACTTCCAGCCATTGACCTGATAGCTATTCCCGTAATTTTATTTGCGATGAATCAATCGACCGTGCGGCGACCCACTTTTTACGGTTCTTATCTTCCGATATTTCGTAGTCATCAGCCACGCTGGCGTGAAATAATTCTTAGTCGCTCTTCCTTAGTCGCTACGATCGGGATGTTGTCCATCGCGACGAGAGGTATCGGAGGAACGAACGAACAAACGGCATCGCAGTGGCACAACGGAGATAGTGCGACGATGTTGGCGTGGGCGGCGGTCGAGAGCCGAGGGGTTGAAACGCGGGAAAGTCCCTCGGGTCCCAATTACACCGACACCCGATCCCAGCATTACGGCCCGGCTAATTCGAGGGGAGAGTCGTATATAAATCTCGGCGAGTTGATTGTGCAGTTTCAATTCCGTTTGTCGCCCGACGACGCCGGAGATAACGCGCGTCGGCAGGTCGTTACAGTTACTTTTTCACCCGGAGAGATTAATTCCGTATCAGAGCCGCGCGAGAGGCGCCGACGTTCGTTCGATCGAGCGTGTCCTGTAACTGTAATCGGATACGATTGAGCGTAATGTTTGTCATTAAAGATAACTACCTCGCGCGTCGGGCGCGCGTTACCGGCGAATTACTGCAAAGACGCGCATTTCCGTTCACGAAATAAATACTGCGTGCTACGTCTGCCCGTAATTTCTTTGCGACTCTTTCAATGGATGTAAGTCTTGTTTCTCATTTATTCGCAAAGCGCCGAAGGCAAAAACGAATCGATAAACATGGCTTAGTAACGCGACACAGATTGATGGAACAACGATCACACGGAGTCTTTTCTTTGCTCTCGGAAAATCTCACAGCACAACTTAAGGTAGTTAACAACGCTCCTCTCGCAGATTGCCGCGAGAGGGATGTGGGAGGGAGAGCTTGAAAGGGGTGTTTCTCTCGACGGGTCTCGCGACAAACGGCTCGGCTAATTACAGAGAGGCCGCAGCTCCGTGTAAACCGGCGGCAAAGGCAGCTGTCGGGTTCCCAGGCTACCGCGGCTTCCGAAGGTTTACGCGTGTCGAGGGCTTTTTGCTTTTGCGTGAAAATGTCGTCGTTCGTTAATTCGATGGTCCGATATGATGTACCCGGACCAGAATATCCGCCAGCGGATCAAATCCAGAAGCCGTTTCTTTCCATCCGTGTTTGTTATTCTTTCGTCCGTTCGCGCGTATAGTTTCAATACTAATATTAATATTAGCATACGGTTGGATAAGTACCGAGCCGAGGCATCCTTGCCCAGAGCTGTAAGAATTCGAACGCCAAGTCCTAAACGCGATCTTCCGCGTTTGCGTAAGCGTCAGAAGAACGTGGGAAACGTACGTCGTAAGCATCGGATACGGTACTTCCTCATACAGTCCAGTTAGATAGATGAAAAAAAAAGAAAAACAATGACGCCCATCCTGTTCCTGCGTTTTGTAATCTTACGCACACAGTCAGTAAAAAAACCAACTAAATATTTGCATGCATTACGTTTTCGTTGTGCATCATTATTTACATAAAAATTTCAACAAATAATAATTTATTGAGCGCTTAGACATATGAAAATAAATTTTACGATCGTGAATTTCCTCGTTGTGACGTTTTCGGAAAATTGATAACAAATCGGAAACGAGTTTCAATACGCGGAGGTCGTTGCTCTTTCGTGTATTCTATTCAGAATTACGAGAGAGAGACGCGCTGCGTATTCACCAGCTGCGAAAGGTCATCTTATTGTTCGCCGTCGACAAAGTCGCGCATCCAACTGGCAACCATCCCCCTCGCGATACCACCGAGAAAGGAAGCCGGATTTCTCGCAACCCCTGCTAAGATAATACGACCACCCACCCAGCGGGAGGTCGAAGATTTCAACCTTTACCGAAATGCCAAGCGGGGCTTTAAACGGGCTAATAACGCTGCCTTCTCCCCCTTCGACACACCGCCGCCGCCGTATCGCGGTATATACGATTTCGATTCTGTCGCACAAATTGCCCGTGGAATTACGTATTACGGAGCCTCCTTCGACGTCGTTAACACTCGTTTCACGTAATAGCACGTGTAACGACGGGCAATTGATGAAACATTTATTCCTAACAAATGGCAATCTTTTTTTTTGTCGACATTGGCTCGTAATTAACGTTGTACACTTTGTCGTGTATTTTTAAACTTGTTAAACGACTTTTTATTACTGGCGCTCGGAGTTTATCTGACAATCCCGAGCGAATGCGCGCGCGTGGGCTGCTGTCTTGGTATTTTAAACCTCAAGCCGGATGGCTTGGCAAGGAAGGTTCGCGCACGTGTGCATCGTGCGCGGTTCTGCGGGAAAAAGGGGGTGCAGCAGGGGGTGTGCAGCAGCGGGGTACTCAATCGGAAAAACTGCCGACGGATACGCCCTCGTTAAAGCGCTCCGGGGTCGTCGTCGTCGTAGTCGTCATCTTCGTCGCCGATCGGCGGACGGTAAAGGTTGACACGGTATCTCTTACAAGACGGTCATTAGTCGAATGAGAGGAGGAAGTCTTACGAAGTGCCTGCGTAAATATCTGTGGGACTGGCCGGTCATCAATCATCTTAGAATCCTGCGAGCCGCGAGCCGCTACGCACGAAATTACATATCGTCTTACGCCTCGCGACGCCACGAGACCCGCCCTGAGCAGAGAGACGAAATTACACCGAGGGCCCCCCTTAACGAACTATTATTTTTTACGAAAGGAATTTTTCCGTCTCTCTCTCTCTCTCGAACCTCGTCGTAATTTCGACGTGGAGGCGATACATCTTGGACAGCATATATGTACTCGTTGCCACAAAAATATGGAGAGATAAACGAAAGATATTTTCTTCGAGGCCTTTTCGAGGGAGACATTTTTTTCTATCTAAGTATTATTAAAATATAAATCAATGATACACACGCGGGGATCACGTCGTATCGGCCATTTAAGTGATAACGTAATGTCGCACGCGTGCGAAACACGCGCGCAGAACGCATACATCGTTCGTACGGATAAAGTTATCGATAGGCCGCACAATGCGGGCGGACTATTTACTATATTTGCGATATCATAGGGCGAGTAATGGTCTCGCTTGACGTTACGGTCGGAAGGACGGAGCAGCAGGAGATAGAAGATGACGCGAGAGGGAGGAAGAAGGAGGAGAGAAAGAGAGAGACAGGGTGGATAGGATATTCCGTGAGACTGGCTGTCATATTCATGTATTGACACCGAGCTGGTTGACTAATGGACTGCTGTTGTCACAGGCTCGTGTTACCGCGAGGGCCTGGCCTCGCCGAGTCGTTTTTCCTGAGAATCGACTGAAACGCATTCGCGTCTATAACATTCGTCTCGTGTTTATCGAAAATTCAGCCTCGTGCGAACTCGTGAGTCATTTCGCGCGGTAACGCCGTGCAAGGAATCGCATGTCAAATATGTTAATTCCGGCCTCCCTCTCGCGAGAGGGATGCCTCTCTAGAAAAAATTTTATATCACGTGCGCGTTTCACTGAGCAATATTTTAACTGCACCATTTTTTTCTGAGAGGCGTATGTGGCTACGCCAGTTATCAAAAGACTATTTCACTCGTTATTCTTGAATAGAATAGCACGTCGCGTTTCGTAAAGCCGCGAATGGCGTGGCCGTTCTTCCTGACTTTTACATATTTATCGAGCCTCGCATTGTTGTCACGTCAGACGGGAGACGTCGACATTGTCGAGCCTCGAAAATCCGCGATATTATATCTGCAAGCTGGAACCGAAGATCCAGTTCTGATCCTACCCCCTACCCGCTTTCTCTCCCCCCCTCCCCGCAGTTCGCGTACTTTCATGACGGCACTCCGAATCCATACGCATTTAACGCGTGGAAAAAATGCAGGAAATGAAAAACAAGTGATCAAAATTTTCGATTAAAGCGACAGCAATTTCACAATATAATGCACACTCTCATCTTATGTCAGCTTTTGATTTACGCGAATTCGAATTTACATGGTGGGTTACAGGTAACGCATTAATCGCGTAAATTGAGAGTTATCTGTATACCCCTCTCGCCTGTCCGCTCGATATTTCATCGCACCCAATAACACCCAATAACGTTTGGCTTTTATAACAAATGGCAAACTCACGAAATTTTCGTTTTTGTTGATGCGCTCGTTACACGCACTACAGAATTACAGAGGAATTAATGAATGAATGGAAAATCATATCAGAGATAGGACCTCGACGAAAGGGTCAAGAATAGTTGCGTGGGATTGAAGGTTAAGGGGAAATGGATAACGAGCACGCAGCGGTAACTATTCTATTACCGTTTGACATCTGATACGAGCTCAGTTAGGCGATCGCGATCTTCGGCCTGATTCCCCGCCTTCCTTTCATCAGACGCGAAGACGTCTAAGGAGACGTCGAATCGGGGGCGAGTCTAAAGCGGGTGGAGGGAACGTTATGGAGGGGCACAGGGTAAGGCGAGAGGCCCCCAACGTGGAATAATACGATACGCAGGAATCGACGAACGAACGTCTACGGACGCGAGACTTTACAACGCGGTGCCTCTTATACGGCTTCTTGATTTATCGGTGAGTTAAGCCTCGACTTCGAAAACCCGCTCGAGGCGCTCCATGCACGCCCGTGAGATTACCGTGTGTCGCGGATCACGCGCGCGCGCTTGCTTGCGTTTGCGAGCGCTCTCGGCTCCCCCCGTCAATGCGTTGTTTGCCGGCCAAGTCAATTTTCTCAAAGCTGTAAGCGCGAAGGGGACGCGGAGCGGATTGGGTGCCACTTGTAAACTCGAGTAAGCCGACCGTCTCGATTCGACGCTTCGTAGAAGGGCACACCTCCCCCCGCGATCGCGACCAGGTAAAAAGATCTTGTACTCTTGTACTCACCTCGCACCTTCTGCTCGTCTTGTAGCTGCCGCTCCAGACTGTCCTTGACCTCCCGCTCCCGAAGAACGTCCATTTTCAGCTCGGCTGTAACACACGCAAGATAATGGAAATTTATTTAAATGTTCTTGTGCACTTCCCCCCAGAGAGTGTGAACCATCCCCACGCGAAGGACGGGGCTCTTCATTCAGTTCTGACTCAAGTTCTCGCTTCTCCCCCCTATCGTTAGTTTTAATTGCTCGGTTACCTAGTTTTCGCGCGGGAGGATGCTTGAGACAACCGAGTGTCTCCATCCTCCATGAATAATTACCAGAAATGGTTTCATCTTCTCGAGAAGGAGGACCAAGTGTCCGTAAATTCTGGAAACGCGAAGGATTTGAAGATCAGCTATAGTCAGCGGTTAATTTAACAATAAGACTGTCTCCCTTCTTCCGCCTCGCTCCCCCTATCCCTCATCCACCTGCCATCGTCCGAGAGGTGCTGCGGGGAGGATATCGCACGGTTGGCTGAGTTCGTGATTAAATCCAATGGCGATGGGCAGACCAGAGCTCGCATAGTTACCTCTAATAGAATTATATTAAGACATGGAGTCTCCATCCCTCCCGTCCCGCCGTCTCCCCGCTTCCACCTGCTTAGTCCATGTTTCTCGTCTCGCGTACAACTCCCGCCCCCTCGTCGCTCTCTTCCTCCCTATCTCCGTCTCCGACTTGCAGAACTCCCCCGTTCCCGTGGGAGCCACCGCGCTAAATTAGCCATTTCGAATCTCTGCTAGAGGGTCGTTAGGACGAGTCCAGAAACTCGTTGAACGGTACTAAGAAACCCGTGCGCCATGCGGGTGACCAGTTTTCAGTCACTCTCGCGGCGAAACGTGACGTGCTGAGGTGAGCGCGAGCATATAAATGAGAAAATTAAAGAGCACGAGCGAACGTGTAAATGACGGCCTCGAATTATGGGAGCTTGAACTTGAAAAAATCCTATCTATCTCAGAGTCAGAGGGTCGCGAAATCATTTTTGAGACTGGTAACACGATAAAATGTTTCCGGGCTCTAACTCAAGCAAGCTAATTCGATTTAACGGAAGAAAAGTAAGGCAGCGGAAGAGGCGCCCTTCTCCCTCCTTCCTCTGGCTCGCTCGCCTCTCGAATTACATTGGCGGGCAATGAGCCACGTAGCTCGTAACGCACGTCAGCTCGCCCGACGATTGGCAGATTTTTGTGGCGTCGTTAGCAAGAAATTGTACATCGTAAATTAGAATTAAGTAGATAAACTTGAACGTAAATTTAAGGTACTTGATTCACATATTGATTATTAAAAAGAGAATCTTACAAAAGAAAAACCGCGTTCAGCTTCATTTCGATCTGTATTCATTTTTCACGTGTGGCGTTTTCGTATTTCATCGGGGAAGTATAACAAAATTCGAAACAACGTTTAATCCGCTTATCGCATTTCGCGAGCTTTTAAAGGACTCTTTTGCAGGCTCGTGTATACGCTACCGTCGTATTAGCAGCAATTATTTCCCGACCCGGGCTCTCGTGGAGAATCCAAAAAGTTTCGCGACATACGTTCAAGCCGTAGCAGCAATGGGAAGGGGGGAGGGGGAGAGAAAGAGAGAGAGAGCGCCAGAGAGAGAAAGAGAGAAAGAGATGAAACCTGACAGAGAATCAAGCTGGTAGATTAGGTAGGGCCGCGTCGTCTCAGCAGTCTGCCAGCAATTTGAGAGCGTTTGCGAGGTCCATTAACGGCGGTAACTCTTCACGACCGGCCGCCACGAAGATTCAATTTGAATGCTAACCAGAATAGGAAGTTCGCGCCGGGGCCCCATGGTATATACGCCGCGCGCTGTGTTCCCTCCCGTACCCCTCCCCGTCCCCCGTGGCCCCCGTTATCCCCTCGCCACCCTGTTATTGCCAATTTCGGCGCGTTTCTGCAGCCCACTTTGCGATCGTTTAGATTATCATCTCTCCCGGTTTCTCTTTCTCTCGACGGCCCTGGGTACCTTTCACCCCGCCCCGTTACCCCCTTTCCCGTATCTTCTACATTCTGCTTTCCCCCACCCACCCCCGATCCGCTCTCGCTCAAACGTTTCCGGGGATAATTGAACTTTATTAGAGATCGTCGTCGACAAAACACCAGCCCTTGCATCCCACCCCGAGGCTTATTCCGGATCGACTTGATTCCGAGATGCTTTAACGATTACTCCGCTCCGCGCTCGCTTATCTTTCTCTCACTCGCGAAAACGCCTCTCAAATCTATGCCGTGACGAATATCTCGAGAGAACATCGGCTCCCGTTTCTCTCGATCGTCGCGCGTGCTACGCTTCGTGAATGGTTCCGTGTTTAAACAAAGCTGAACAGTCAACTTTTAAACAAAGAAAGAAACCGTCTTTTTTTGCAATTGGTACGTACGATACAACCTGCCTAAAGAGCACATCTGGATTCGATTTCGCGATGTCCGAATTATTCTCCGCCTGGAGGCAGATGCTACGCCATGTGCGAAATGCCTTTCCTCAGATCTTACGTTCTTTTTACGGCGCAAAGCGGCGCGGCGGTGAGTCTCGCCGAGGGACGGCTGGAAAAGTTTGTCGCGATGGGAAAAAAAAGCTGGAAATCAATTATGCGAGCTCGGCGCTCCTCGCCGTGGGGGAGGAGCGACCTTATTGAAATTTGGCTGCGGGGTCGTGAGCATTAAAATTGCAGGGATTAATATTAGCCGTGGTGAAAAGCGCTTTACTCGCTTTCCTCGTAAGGAAATGATTCCACCGCGCCGCGCCGTTCCGTTCGGTTATAAAAGCCCGGACCCGTTCTATCATTCTTATGTCAATTAGACGAGCCCTAATCGCGACCCGGCTCATAAACCGAGAATTATATCTTTAATTTTAGCGGCCGTATTCAGCCGCTTGCGAAACAGGATTCTGCCCTACGTGCTTTCTTCGCCGCTGCGGGCGAGACCAGCTTTAACCACGACAGATTATAGATGGTAATTAATGACGAGAAACTGTCCGTCGGTCAATTTCGTTATCTCAGTCTGAGCTGCAGAGAAATATAAGCAGCGAAGAAATTATGCGATACATTTTATATTCATTTTACATTAATTTTTATTAAACTATTCTATAATTGCTGCCAAATTATTCTTCTTGTGTATCAAAAGATCACTCAGTGACAAATATATAAAAAGATGAATGAGAGGTGCGTAATTAATATTTGACAAATTATTCCGATGTCATTTCGAATCTTTCAAAGTAGTTAAGTCCTTTTTATCGCTTACGCTTTCATGTGTGCATACGTTCATATGCATCTCTCGACCGTGATGTTCGGTAGTGTTAGCGGCGGATACATTTCCGAGAGCTGCGCTCATCACGATTTACGAGTTTCTCGCCGGACGGCGGACGATATCGCGGGCGGGCTCGAGCGGACCTAGGATCGTTGGCGATAATAATTTTCACGGTGGCGCGAGCACTCGCGTAGTAACAATAACGGTGCAACGGAACGTGCATGGCACTGTTACCGGAGCGATTCATGGTTATTGATTAGTATATACGGTCGCAGGAAGACGAGAGAGAGAGAGAGGCTGCGGTATAGCGTTCACAACCCCCGAGGGCCTGTACCACGACGCGGTGTACACACAGGCAACGCACAAGCACAGATATTATGTGTGCATACATATAAATATATACACGTACACACTTGTCCGCCGCGAATGTATGTATATCTCTGTAGCTGGGTACACTCGACGCTAAGATATTCGCAGGGCCCTAAGGCGACCCTCAGAAACAACAATGTCAACTTGCCCGCACGCGGCCCGCAATCGTTTGAATAGTATAATGTAGTTTTCGTGTTACAACTCACTCTCCTTCGTATACAAGCGCCCGTCTAGCGCCTATACGAAACACCAGGCCTCTTCTTTTCGTGACTCGTTCGAAAACGTCATGATCGTCGTGATGCTTTGAAGGACGAATGAAATATTTACATAAACGAGTAGACGAGAAGGAGATCGCGCGCGAGATCGGCGGGGTATTTATGAATTTAATTTTAACGGATCAAGAGCGGTAATAAAGCTCGGGCAGGAATTAACCGCCGGATTATTTCGGTAATTTACAGCCCCGGGGATCGCGCGTCTGGCATTCTCTTATTTGCATCGTGATACCCTCACGGTGGTACGCGTATCCTCTCTGCGCGATTCTTTCGAAGAAAGTTATTCCCCCCGAAAAATTTCCTTAAAATGTCTTCTTCTTGCGTGCATCTTAATTACGTACGCGCGATCTCGAGATTTCGCGTCTCGATCGCTTTTGCGGTCGTTTTGTGTTTCTCAAAGGGAGACCCGTCGAAGCCCGTCGCGTCGCCGGCCAAAGCAAACTCGAATTTCATAAATTTCGCACCCTAATCCTCATTAATCCCGATGTTGCACTATTTGCCTACGAGAAGATCCGCCGCAAGACGCGGGGCGCCGCGGGGCCGCCGAGCCGCTGGAAACGAGAATATTGTTGTTTCTACCCTTGCGCATGTTACAGCCGAATAATGATTAAGTATATACCCCGGCGAGTTAGTTCTGTCCTCCGGGCACGGGTTCTCCTTCGCGGCGAGATACTCCTTCCGCTGAATTTCAATTGTCGACCAATGTTAACGACATCTCCATGCCCTCCGCGATCTCTCGACGAATGTTATAATTGAAGCTCAGGTTGTTATAATTGCAAAAAATTATTATACTTAAATTCCTCGTACCTACATATGCAGTTTTAGTTAAAGCGAAACGTATTGCTCCAATTACGGTTATATTAACACGCACACGGTTATTCAATCTCTCCGTGCTTTCCACGAAATAAGCACATCCTATCGCGCGAAATTTGCAGAATGCCAGGTTGTCGATAATAATTAAAACTTTCTCGCGCACTCGGCACAGTTTGACTTGGCCCCGGCGAAGCAACAGCGCAGCCAATAGTTATCCCATGCGGATTACGGTCCTTGGCTAAGGGCTACAAGGGTTTCCCTCCTCCTACGGGATTTAAGACGGACTTAGCCCTTGTTCCGGTCGCTGACCACTTTGCCTCCCATTAACCATTAACGGATCTAACGAAAATAGGATTAGATCGCA